CATTAGAGGTCATTAGAGGTCATTAAAATTCAATTTGATTTTATTTTAGGAATTTCGATCACTAATTAGGCGTGCACCCAAAAAATTGGAAGATTTGAACCAAAAATGAAGGCAGGGCCCCCCCCCCCCTACATCAAATGTGCCAACTCCACCATCCCCTTTTTGGGAACATTGAAAAAAAATTAGTTTTTTGACTTTGGTGTAAACCAATTCAACTTTTAGTAACGGAAACTTGAAGTCTCTCTTAAAATAAGTATTATTTTTGATCTAATCGTAAACGCACACCAAAATTTTATTTAGATAAGCACCTCAAATGTTGGGCATCTTGTTATATGTTAAAATTAGATATATATTATTAGTTTAAGACCTACTTCAGATTGAAGACGATTGTAGTTCTGCTGACGAAGGTCGGAAAGTATATTATAACGATCTTACTGTATGTCTCAAAGGCAATATTGTGATCTATTGTAAGCGTTAAAATATTTGAATAAGTCGTGAAGAAAAAACTTTCTCATACTTTTTAAAATTGTCAAACAGCTAAAAGGACTCAAAACCTGATTAAAATCCGAGTTATTATTTGTGCTAATATCAATCTTAGCCTAAACAAAGTCACAAATGATTGTAGTCCTTTTCTTTGTAGTTTTTGTTAGTGATCGTAGGTTAAGTGTAATATTAAAATATTAAATTATTGTTTTATATTGAATTTACATGATAAACTTGCACAAAGAATATTTTCTCAAACTTATTAGTTTCAGATTCCCTTAAAAATGGCGCCGTTAAGTACGACGACCATATCAGGTCTCTTGAAGGCTGGGAAGTTTAAAGAAATGTGTGAATCTGTGGAAACTTTCTTCAACGATAATCCCGACGACAATGGATCTGCAGTGAAGGTCGTGAAGACTGTAGCATGGTTTGTTTACGAGAACAGCGTAGATGATAAATGGCGAAAAAGAGTTGTTGAAACTGTGATTTTATCAGTTGAAATATTGTGCAAAATAGAGAAATCTAATTCAGGAATTCTAACAAATGCTTGAGCTCTCATTTTTTATAATTGATATTTACGAGTATATTTTTCTCCTAAATAGTATTTTCTCTTCGATAGGATTTATGATTTATGTTGAATTTTCCCAAATGAAAAATAGAAATATATCATCAAAATCAGAAATCAACGCCATTTTATGAAAAGTTAATTGAAATTCAGGATTTTAAGAGTTCTCAAGTTTTCAGTCCTCTGATACTTTTATGTGTTTTTATGCTTTTTTTCAAACTCATAATGCATTGTAAAAGTATAAACAGTAAAATCATTTCTTACAGACATTATTCTGATATAGTAACAATCCAAGCAAAAATTGAGATCTTTCTAACAATATCTAGTTAACAAGTATTATTGGGTTTATTTGGACAACCTAATTTCAGAGTTTTTATTGTTCACGCCACAAGTCTTACTTTTTTACTCTTTAAATATTGATTCTCCCTTTTCTTCGGAATAACTTTTGCTAGCAAAAAAATTGTTCCAATGCATTTATTTAATTTCTTCAGTGTTTAAAGATGTTCTCCGATCTCTGTACTACATTGTCTCAAGGATATTATTCTTGTATTGCTTTTTATTCAGTTTTAGAAATATGAATTTTTTCTCATCTTATTTTAACTGTGTCTCTTCATTTTGGTGTAGTTTTTACTACACATTTAGCGTTTTTTTTTATTCTACAAAGAACATTTTCCAATTAAATTATAATTTGTACAGCAACCAAAAACATGTGAATTTTTCACAAAAGTAAAATAATTGAGAACTCGTGTATTTAAAGGTGTCCCTTTCCTCACGCAGTAACATCTCGTGATGCAAGAAAAACCATTGATTGATCGCTAATACTTAAAGAATAAAAATTCAGACTAGAGAAGGTAGATAAAGATCCATTTCTTCTTTCGGATCTCCTTCCATCAATTCTCAGGTATTTTTTTCTGTTACTCAGTGAATCATTTTCTCGTCTTTTTATCATTTTTACATTCTTTTATAATATAGTCTTAAGTTAAAGAAAACCTCTGTTAGTTTTAATTTCCCTACTTTCCTGTGTCGCCATTTTTGTTTTTAAAGCGGCCATTTCAACTGAAATTACATGTTAAACTGTAAAATTGTTTTTAAGAAAAAATCCCCTGAATCATTACATTTTTTATCAGTAATTTTAATTTTTATTATTTTTTATTGTTTTAGAAACTATAATCAGAGGCATATCTAAATATATATAGGAATTAATTGGGAGAAGGGGGGCATTTATATAGACTATTCATGTTCAATGTTCACCCTAAACCGTTTAATATGTTCCCAATATTCCAAAACACTAGAAAATTTGAAACCCCGATTTTGAATATGTTTAAAACAAGTTACATGTCATAAATACAATACATTGACAATTTGAAATTAACCACAGTCGTCTTATCGTATTTTTTCTATTTGCGTCAGGACTGAAACATATTACATCTTTTTGATTTTTACTTTTTTCCTCAATTTTTAGGGAGGAGCATATTGTTTGACCAGTAAATCTCACCATTGTCCGAAAAAACCCAAATCAGCCCTCCTGATAATCATAATATATAGTACTAAGCTTTTAGGGCGGATCATGCCAATCTTTTATTTCAATCGTGAACATGTTCTTTTTGTATACATTGTAAAACAAAAACAACACAATTTTTGCTGATTTTATAAAATAAAATTTCATGGATTTTAAAATTTTTAAAAGTGAAATTTTGTTAAAAGCAAAGTTTTGAAAATTTGATCGTCCATAAACTTTCTCTAGGGTCACGCGAGGTCCCACAAAAAAAATTGGGCCCAATCAGTGCAGTTGTTTTGGCGTTTATTGGATACAAACGTACATACATATATATATATATATATATATAAACCAACAAAGAAAACGATTGAATAAGGTTTGATTTAAATTTAGGTTGTGTGAGGTGGCGCCAGACAAAACTGGACTCTTTTCCGTTACGTACAATCTTTACGTTACTCTTTGGAACTTCGTCATCAACTTAGAACCAAGGTTTTAAAAAAAGTTTATTTTGAATTCTCATTTTGAACTGCAATATGAATAATATAAAAATGTAATATAAAACAATGAGAGTGATTCATTTATTACTGTACGAATTTATTTTAATTTATATTTTGTTTTTCAGCTTAAAAACCGAAGCTGAGATTGTTGCTTGCATTCAGATACAGAATTCTGCTCTGCTTTTCCAGGTTAGTTTGTTCACTTGTTCCAGAGGGTGCTCAGGGGGGATTGGTGATGTTTGGGAAATTCCGGAATATTTCGAGGACAATCCCACCTTGGAAAGTAAAAAAGGGGCACAAATTAATAAAAAATTAGTTCAATCATTTTAGGTTTAATGCATAAAAATGATCAAAAGGCTAACAAAATTTTAGGTGAACAGATTCTTTAATTATTCCTTTCGCTTAACCCCCCTGAAAAAATATATAGTCTTTATTTTGTTGTGCTGTTCTTAACAATTTATTTTAATTTGGATTATTTAATCAGATGTTTTTATTGTTTTTTTGTTCTCTTTGTTTGGGGGTAAACCTGGGGAATTAACCTATTTCCTGTTTCTATAAAATCATTTGCTTACTACTACTTAAAAGCAATATTTAGATAATAAAAAAATTTAAAGAATTTATATTGAAAGAATACAAAGAATTTGTCACAAAAAATTTCTCTGTTAAGTTGATGGAACCAAGTAATGAGAAGTTTTCCTTCCCTAAGCTGATCAATAAAATGAAAACTATTACAACTAAGTTGGCAAGCAAGATACAAGAAACCTCACCTCTTCATCTCCTCGCAGATAATCTAATACAACATCTGCTCAACCCGAACCTCAAACAGTGTGATCAAACCCTGTACTTTGAACTATGGACCTTTTCATTGGAATTTTGTTTTAAAACAAATAATTTTGAAAAAATTAAAGATTTGATGTTAGCACGTCATCCTAGTAATGAAGGACAGTATCCTGAGGAAGAAATTAATTTTCTAAAAGATTTAAAATCCTTAGCTAATGTTTTGCCGGAGGATTTCAACCTGAAGACAAATACTGATTTCTGTGAATCTAGTTTATCAGATAGCTATCTTCTTATAGTGATCAATATATTTATGCAGTTTTACAACGAAATAAGTGAGAAGTTAGTGAAGTTGAAAACTATAAACCCAGGGATGTTTGACTTGGTGGAGACAGGACTAGTAGGACTATGCTCCTCCTGTTCTACTCCTGAATCCATTATATCAAGTTGTAAACTCCTCTCCGTCCTGGAGAGTTTAGAGATCATCAACGGTCCGGACACCTTGGAGAGCAGAGTTCAGAATATCAGGTTGGAATCTTAAAGGGACTGTAAGCATAATTTCAATTTCAAAAGACAAAAAAGTTGACAATGCCTGGTATATAACGATACCCTTGAAACCTTATTCTGACCAAAAACGTCGTTTTTGATTCTAATAATTTTTCCATAGCTTCTTGTAAGCGAGAAATGTGCTTAAGTCGGAAACCAAAAGTGAAAATGATCAGTTTAAATGAAAACAGGGAGCTCTAATTTTTACTTGATTAGACAAAGCTATTAAGGGTACCGTTGTAAATCGGGCATTACCATCTTTGCATGGAAGGTCACTTCAAAAGACGCCTGAAATTCCTTGTCGATATTTTTTTTATTTTAGTTTTAAACATTCTTGTGAGGATTTCGTATTTTTAAAAATTGAAAAGCCTAACACAATCTTCTTTCTAACTGAATAACACTTTCCACATTTAAGTAATAGTCCAAGAAGTGTTTTTTCCATTATTACTGAAAATAAAAAGAATCAAATTAAGAATAAATTCTACGAACTAAAAAAGCAACAATTTTTCTTGTAACATTTCTATTTCAAGATATCAAAAATAAACCAATGTTAGTTATTTTTTTTATTGTTAGGAACCTGTTCGATGTTCATGAAGAGTTAGTAAGGAGAGCTGAACAGCACAATGTTGATGAATCTTCAAGAAAATCTATTGTCTCTAAACTAGCTGCTAATACTTATAGTTTTGGTAAGCTTCCTTTTGATTATTTGTGTGTTTGACAAGTATAATAGTTCAGAATAGATTTTTATTTAGCAGAACTAACCATAATAATAATAATAATAATAATAATAATAACATGTAATTGACGACCTAAAATATTTAATGCGAATAATTTTTTGGAAATTTTAACTTTTATTGCCGTGATTTAACGTACACCTATACTTGAAACGACTATACCCTTTATGATTCAGTCAGATTAGGAATCCTTCTATAGAATTTAAGTATGATCTTCAATTTACTTAGTGTAACTGGTGTCAATTTTTTATTCAATAGAGCGTTTTTTCAGTAAACGATCATTTTTTTAAAACATTTTTTTTTTCGAAAATGAAAGTTTTATTTTAAAATAAAGGTTTTATTTAAAAATTTCTAAAGGGAATAATGTATGACCTAGTAATACAAACTACTGACAATAATTTGTAAATTAATCAAATGAAATAGAAACCATGATTTTGATTTCAAGGTTCTCAGTTGTATCAGTGCAAGATGTTCCCTGAAGCTGAAGAGTTCTTATTAAGAAGCTGTAGTGCTTCCACAAAACTACTAAAATTAGAACCATCTTCTTTCCTTAGTCAGTATAGGACTAGGTAATCGTCAAGGTTAAAATGCAAGGAAAGTTATTTCAGAGGTATACGCAACTTTTGCACTGCAGTGTAATGTCTCTGGGCGGTAATGTAAACACAAGACGGATGTCACAGCCTGACATGTGATCCATCCTTCACATAAAAAATCAATGAAATAATCTGGTCATAGGAAACTATTATGTGAAATATCAAAATTTTCAAAATACAAAGCTTTTATCATCCTCGGATATTAAACGAACACTGATGCATCTATTCTTGTTTACAAATACCGCCCAGAAAGAACTGGTTTCAATATGTACGCAGAGTATACGCAACTGCAATTAACTTTCCTTGCATTATAACCTTGGTAATCGTTAACATTCAACATAACACATGTTAAGAAATATTTGACAGAAAAGAACAATCATTGATTTGAAATTCTTTAAGACTGGTCTGCTTATTTCCGTTTCCCTAAACTTAAAGGGACCGTACGCGTGATTTCAAGTGATCCTCCATGCTTGATTTACAACCATACCCTTGAAACCATTATCTGATCAATATGTTATATTGTTCGGGTATCGCTTTGATTCCATTTTTGGTAATAAGAAGCCATTCTTAAAATGGATATTTTTTACTTTCTATGCTCGACATTTTTCACATGATCATCGTAACTGTTCATGATTTGGAAGAAACTGTCGTTTTTTTTATTTTGAAAACCTTCCTAATTCCTTTGTTTTCCTGTAGTAGAAATGTGCATTGAGCAAGTCACTTTTGTAAAGAAACTACAGTTGAAAATATTCAGTCTTTTAGTTTTAAACACTGATATCTATATCATACTTAAGATGACGAAGCTTTGTTGGTCCCGTTGTGAATAGTGCATGGAGGGTCACTTGAAATTATGCTAACAGTCCCTTTAATTATTATTTATTTAATTCTTTAAGTGTTAATTAGCTTTAGAACGGTACTATAAACCGCCCTAAAAAGATTCAGAAAACTCCCATGTCTGAACTTTTGCACAGGACGTTCGACCGATTGAATTGTTAGTTAGAGTTTCTATTTTACAGTTTCTGATAAATTCCTATTTTTAAACATTTTCTTAAAGTTTATATAGTATATACAAATATGTTTATATTTTCGATTGTTCCTCCCATTTTTTTTGCAAGCATTCTTTTAATAACATCAGTTACAATTTTGTTAATATTATTTTCCCTGCTTTGCGACAGGATTAAATATCTGTTATTAGATGGAAAACCTTAGCTGATGTTCAGAACAGACTTCTTAAGAAGAAGGTAAGAGTTAATTTTCGAAAACATAAAAAAATATTTTAACAAATACTTTATGGTTATCTCTTGGTGTGTTGGTTTGTTGGACATCAGGATTAAAAAATATCCCACTAAAAATATTTTTTTTTTTGAAAGTTTGAAAATTCCTCCAGTAAAATACGTAAATCTACGACATATGTACACTGTACGGATGTCGGATAATGCCATACTCGCAGATGATCAACAAAACAAAGCCAATATTAATGGAAGATGAAGCCAACCGACAAATAATATTGCATCTTTTCCTGCTTTATTTTAGAACTCTGTTGTTTTTTGTGAATCCCCCATGGCATGGCAAGTAATTCCAAGAAAGAATAGTTACCCGAAATGATAATAATGATGATAATGTTAATACCAAGTTTGCATCCTGTAAACTAGAAATATAACTAACTATAACTAAATATAACTAACTATAACTAACTATTTTACCCAATTCTAGGATTATCTAGTGAGTCTAGCTGTTAGCCTAGTTTTCCTAGTTTCTACAGATACAGCATCAGATCAAATACAGATTCTACTTTGTCAGGTAAACATTATATTTTTCTCATCTTAATATTTCTTTGGGCTGTAAACCTATAAGGCTTTAAACCTTTGAACCTTCGAACCTTTAAACCCATAAACCTTTAACCTTTAAACACTCAAACATTTAAACATTTGAACATTTTAAACATTTTAAACATTTTAAACATTTTAAACATTTTAAACATTTTAAACATTTTAAACATTTTAAACATTTTAAACATTTTAAACATTTTAAACATTTAAACTTGAGTATAGACCTTCGATCTTAAACCCGTAAACCTTGATATTTCAACCTCCAAAGGTTTTACTTTTTCCTCTGTCTCTAAACCCTGTTAAAAAACTTGCATTTTGAGGAAAGGTGTCTCATGTTAAATATGCAAATATGGCAATGCCCTATTCACAACGTTATCCTTAAAAGCTTAGTCTGATCAAGTATGAATTATATATCAATGTAATAATATTTTAAAAGCTTATTATTTTTAATTGTGGTTTTTCTACCAAGGTGACTTACGCATTTCTACCGCATTGTTATCATCTAGCAATTATTAGAATATAATCCTTTAAACCTGGAAAAACGACATTATCTTCCACCTTATTGATCGGATAATTGTTTCATGGGTACCTTTGTGAATCAGGCATTGTCATCTTTACATGGAGGGTCACTTAAAACTACGCTTACAATCCCTATAAACGGTAATATTATTCAGTATATTCGTGGTTGGAACCTTGGAAGAGTTGAATGGATTAAAGAAGACCCGGAAAATACTGAAGCTAAGGATTCAAATATCATAGATCTAATCAGGGAAACATTCAAATTAGTCATTATTTTACATCCTAACTTAATTAGATTCAATTTAAGATTATTATACAATAAAATCACAAATATCATAGATCTAATCAGGGAAACATTCAAATTAGTCATTATTTTACATCCTAGCTTAATTAGATTAAATTTAAGATTATTATACAATAAAATCACAAATATCATAGATCTAATCAGGGTAACATTCAAATTAGTCATTATTTTACATCCTAGCTTAATTAGATTCAATTTAAGATTATACAATAAAATCACAATTATCATAGATCTAATCAGGGAAACATTCAAATTAGTCATTATTTTACATCCTAGCTTAATTAGATTCAATTAAAGATTATTATACAATAAAATCATTTTCAACTTGATATTTGTGGCTTAAAAAATAATAATGAATGTTTGAGAGTAGGAGTAGTATGATAGGAGATACAGTATCTAATCAGATACTGGTCAGATTACTCATCTGGGAGATACTTTGCTATAGACAACTCTTCCCAGAGGGCCCTGATCTTAGGAATATATTTAAATATTTATTGTTTGGATAAAACAAGTTCTTTTTGCGATGTTATGTATTTTCAGTTGCATCCCTATTTTTATAAGAATATTTACGTTAAACTAAGAGAAAAATTTGCCTTTTAAGCTTGCGCTAGTAGTTTAGTATACTTTACACTCAGTGTACACTGTACGTTACATAGTACATAACGGTTCTGGAAACCAAAAGGAACTGTAAGCGTAATTTCCAGTGACCCTTCATGGAAAGATGGTTTTACCCGATTTACAACGGTTCCCTTGAAACCTTAATATGCAAAAATGTGGAAGATACCGTCGTTTTTCTGTTTCTGTTTCTCCATTGCCTCTTATAAACATGAAATGCTTAAGACACTTTCGAAGAGAAACCACAAATGAAAATTAACAGTACAAAAATACTGATTTCTAATACATACTTAATCGGCCAAAACTTTCAAAACTTTCGTTGTAAATCGGGCATTGTCATCTTCGGAAGGCTTCTTAAAATTACGCTTACAGTCTCTTTAAAATGCAACAATTTGTCTATCCCAACTGAAATGAACCAAATATTATTGTCTTAATATTTTTGTGTCTAATTTGAACTAATTTGAAATGAAATCTGAAAAATCTGCCCAATATAGATTTATGAATGAATTTACTGTTTCGAGTAATGTCTTGTCCGTTTTTAATACTTGTGGATAAGTTGACCTGCTGAAATGGCCGCTTTTTTAAAGATAGATAATTGGATAAATATTTAAGTAATAAATGACCAGGGAGCTGACAGTTGGGAGTTTGAATGTCATCCTAGAACTAGATCAAACTAGTTTAAACACAGTTCTAGTCTTTTTAGAGCAAACCTGGATTTTCTGCTTCCATAACAACTTTGAGGTCAGTCAAACAATTTATTATCACTATTTTTTTTTTAAATCTTAAACACTTTTTGTTGTGAAATAGCTTTGCATTAATTCAATACATTTAGTAAAGGTAAAGGTGGTTCTCAAATGGACTGTGAGAGTAATTTCCTTGCAAATATCGCAATGTCCGATTCACAACGGTAAAATTGAAACTTTGTGAAGCTAATGTCGTTTTCTAGGTTTTAAAGTGATTACTAATGATAATCCCTTGATGTTTTCCTGCAGTAGAAATGCGCAAGTCACTTTTGAAGAGAAACCACAATTGAAAATATTCACTTTTCAAAATTGATATCTTATTCATGCTGTGAATCGGACATTGCCATCTTTGAATTGTGGGTTACTTGAAATTACACTTACAGTGCATATAAGAGATTTAAAGAAGTTGTAACGAGGTTTCTTAATTTCATCAAATTTCTGTCAGATAACTTGCATATTCGTTTAATCATGTATTTTACTTAGGATCTTGAAACTGGAATTAAGCTTTGTGAGAAAGCTAAGAATATGCTGACCGGCAAGAAGGGAATAGGTACTGTATAGTGATAATAAATGTGATTGTTGATCAGATGACAATTGGAGTCATGGTAACAAGCTTTGATTAACTTAGTACAGTAGCGGAACCTAATATGCTTCTTTACTTTTTAATGAACTGTCGACGGTATTTCAAGTCATTTAAATTATTAAGTCTTATTTTCTCGCTGAAAATTCAGATCTCTATATCGTTTTTAATTAGTTCATTTGAACATAATTAATTTGCGATTTTGTTCATTTGAACTAATGTTCAAATGGACTAAATAAAGTTGACTTATGTACAATTGTCCGTTAGTTCAATTTGCTGTTAGTCCAATCGATCTAGCATCAATATTTTATTTTATATGAAAGTTCGAATTTCAGTGTCTATTTTCAGTGACACCCAGGAAATAAATAATATTATTCTTAAACACTTAAAACTTGTAAACAAAGTTTTAACAATTACAAGTGTTTCTGCTGATCATATCAACATTTAAAATTTTTTACAGGGTTACCTATAAAGGATGATACCTCAGAGACGACTGTACGGAATTTATACTGTTTGTTTCCTGACATTAATGATTCCCTGCAATTGTAAACTTGCTTCTTCTCCAACTCATTAAATAAGACATAAAAAGAATATATTTAAGGCAGACAATTTAATTATGAATTCAACAAAATGATTATTTTATTTTAGGTGTTCTGTACCTCAGTATAACCCAATATCTACGGTTCCTATGTGAACACAAGGTTCTACAAATACAGATTTCTTGTGAGATGAATGTAAGTTTTTACGGCATTGAGGTCACACCAAAGCAGGCCCGTAACTTAAAGTTTTTTAGGGGGGGGGGCGTAACGGCCCTGAACAGTTAAGGGAAAGGTAGACAGGTTGACACATGACATGTTGTTATATTTTTATGAGGAAAAGTTGAGAATCAAGATGGGCCATAGACCTTGGATAATGGACGGGTTCTCGTACAACGCTACAAGTCTTAGCATTGTCCAGTGTCCAATAAAAGGTTCTTAAAACTCAAATTAATATTTCCATTTATTAGGAGGAGGAGAAGAGGAAGTTTGAGGCGGCTGAGAAGCTAGAGAATATAGATACATTAGGTATGGAGGAATCTACTGAGGATGCTAGAGCAACATATGTAGGACTTGAGATACAAGTTCAGGAAAAACTTGTCATGCTCTTGGAGGAGGCAGGACAGCTTTTCATGCAATATGATTATTCGGACATAGGTAAATAACTCAGGAAAATTCTTTTAGAAGATCTTCTTATTTGCATACAATTTAGCTACAATAATCGGCGTTTATATCAATACTATGAAGATGAATTTTCTATTTAAGTTTTGATTTCTAGCAAGCTTTTTTTAAATAACAAATTCATAGGCAAACAAAGAGAATCTGTTAATTGACAGATTGTCACCGTTTCCATGTTTATGTGCATCCAAGCTGTTTGAAAGCTTGGTAGAACTTAAACATTGAAATCGAAAGTCGCCTTCATTGTATTGATATAAACGTCGACGGCTGTTGTACAAAACTCTCACACCCCAACCACATCCAAAATCAAAGATATTAACGTTTTATGATTGGCTCATCATTTAATTATACTTCCCATCAGAAATTAGCTGATATTTGAGAGGTAATTGCAATTGATAATCTTCAAATTGCTTAACAACAGCCATAACAATTGTGACAACTAGCTGTTATTGGTTCATGGTAATTGCTGGCCCAATTATTATGATCTATAGCAATTGTTAGCGTTTCAACCTGCTGATGTTTAGGTTATTGGTATACATTGAAGAACCTGCTTGACCTGCAGCTAGCTGTAGCATCTCAACTTGAATTATTTAACAGAAATTCTTTCAAGTAAGTGTCGTTAGAATTTTAATATCGTTGAATTCACCAAATGTTTATCTTTAATATTATTAAAATGTGTTTAATTTACGCATGTCTGAAGTGGGGTTATTATTATTATCCTAATATCAAGAAATGTTTTATAGTTTATTTAATATAAATTATAAATTGTAAAATATGTTATATAGATATTGATATATTATATATTTTGTTTTATTAGACTGCTGGAGCATATTCAAGCTTTGGCTGAAAGATTTGATGAGACAGAATATATTATTCTGGCAGGAACAAGACTCATCCAATACAATCCTAGACAACACTTGGTTCATCTAGACAAGGTTAATTATATACTTCAAATCCTAGACAACACTTGGTTCATCTAGACAAGGTTAATTATATACTTCAAATCCTAGACAACACTTGGTTCATCTAGACAAGGTTAATTATATAGTTCAAATCCAATACAATCCTAGACAACACTTGGTTCATCTAGACAAGGTTAATTATATACTTCAAATCCAATACAATCCTAGACAACACTTGGTTCATCTAGACAAGGTTAATTATATACTTCAAATCCTAGACAACACTTGGTTCATCTAGACATGGTTAATTAATCCTAGACAACACTTGGTTCATCTAGACAAGGTTAATTATATACTTCAAATCGGACTCCTTCGATATGTTAGGGGTTTACAAAAAGACCAAATTCCACCTAAATTTTTAATTATCACGCTTCACTCTCGAATTTTCCGCCCTCAATCTCAAATTATCCCACCTCAATTTCTAATTATCCCATCTTAATTTCAAATTATCTCCGCTCAATATAAAATTATCCCACCCAAATCTCAAATTATCCGATTATTTAAAATCCGATGATCCGATGATAACGATGGACCAGGTATTTGAGTTATCTAATTAACAAATGTGATTGTTTAGATTTGTGAATTGAGTAAGAGTATTGAGGACCAAAGATCTAACACATCTCTTATTTATGATATTTCTCTCACTCTAGCGGAATCATTTCTAAATACTAACCGGTAGGATTAAACGTTTCACCACCTACATTTTTAAATCTTTAAAATTCACCCCATCATTAGATAATTAAAAGAATAATTATTTAATCTGTATTATTTAAAAATGTGGAAATTTTCTTCATAAAGAAGCCGGACGAAATTATCAGGAACTGGAGAGTACTTGGAACTCCTAACCACTCCTGGAGTCTTAGAACATCCAAACAACTTGTGATTTGAATGATTTGATTTAGTTTTTTTTAATTTGACGATAAGACTTGTTTACCCCTTTGTTATAATTTATACTATCCATGGTTTATTGTTGCTGTTTCCCTTTTCTATTTTATATTTTTATAGCTAGGGTTAATTTTGTTTACTCTAGGTACCCTGAATGTGAGTCTATATTAGACTCAATACTGGAGAACTCCTATATTCGGCAGAACTCCCTCAAACCAAACCTGATCAGGAAACAAGATTTAAATAACAAGTTTGCCAAACAATATCTCAAGAAAATCATTAGTCCTTACAAAGTTAGTAAAACTGTGAATATTACTTTTTCATCATTAAAAAAAAAAAAAAAAAATCGGGAATTGAACCAAAAAGGTTAATAGAAAAATTAACCTTGTTTCTACCTGTACAGTGCTGAGGCTAGATACCTGGGAAGTAGATTAAGATATATGAGTGGAACTCCGTGTAAACTGTTAGATAATGATACAATCAATTATTTATCTTTATCACACCTGGGCCCGGTAGAACTTGCCGTAGAAGCTTTCAAACTAACAATATTGTGTTGGAAATATCTCCTAGACGATCTGGGGTAAGAAAATAGGAAATTTAAATTCAACTCATTTAATTTTATCAAAATCGATTAAAACTCGAAAAAGTGGTTGAAATCTACCGGGATACTTTTATCATGACTTTACAAATCAGATATTAATGCATTATTTTGTCAAAATATATTTCATTTGTTCTAAAATAACAAAGAAAAATTAAGAAAACAGTAAAAATGTCATGAAAGCAAAACTTCATAGAAACACTTTCCCTTTTTTAATTTCAAGATTCATACATGAAGTTATTTTTGTACTTTTGAACTTATATCAACGGAAAAAATACCGAGTAAATCAAAAATCTTTAATTTAGTGATAATTTGACACCAATGATTAAAAGACAAAAAATCTAAACTTGAAAAAAATGACAATCGGCAAAGAATCTCTCTTAAAATAAATGATATTTCTCTTCCTTTAATATTGTTTTTAGGGTTCACTCCCGGCAGGAGTCTAGTCTGCTGTGGTTGGAACCTAAGATCTTAACACTCTTGTTTAAGATTATAAAACTTCTGATTACTCTCTACAAGGTTATATCAACCCCTAGGTGTGTAATACTTTAAAGTCCCCATGGAACTATAATAAAATCAAAAACAATCCGCATCTTAACGTTTGTTAATCTTTATTAATTGATACGCTAGGGAGATGAGAGGAATCATAAAGGAAGGATTGATATTTGCTCAATCCCGTTGTCTACCTCTACAATCAGCTGTCTTTCTAGTAGGTAATTAAACCAGAGCTGAAAACTTTCGAATTGCGGATATCGACATCAATCTGCAGATTGATTTAATCTTACTTTGATATCCAAGTTTAGTGTCTGAAATGCAAGTAATCGGGTGCCGAAACCGAACACCTTTAGAAGCAGAGAATTTTTGAAATTTTGCGCTTAATCAATAAAACAACTCTCACTGGTCGGAATCCAGCTTTGGGATATACAAAAGAGAGGATGGAGGCAAAAATCAAAAATGTCCACATTGGATATAGAGAATTAGCAATCGGGATTAAGGGTATCCAATACTAGAGTTATCAGCTCAAAGATCAGAAGATTACATTTTTTACTGTTATTATTATAACCTTTATTTCTTCATTTATCTTAGAGAAGAGACCTATTTAATATTCAATATTTCTTCATATATTCTAGAGTAGAGACCTATTTAATATTCAATATTTTAGAACTTGCAAAAGTTATGTTGTTGTGTGATGAGTATGGGGATGCATTTACTCAGCTCCAGGGAGTTAAAGGAGTACTAGAGGGTGTTCTACACCAAGGAGAGAAGGGGAAGGTGTACAGGTTGGATATGGATGAGGAGATTGTAAAGGTTCCAGGAGATACAACTAGTAGAGCAGCTTCTCCTCTTCTCTTTAGAAATACAATCCTTCCACCAGATTATCTCGGTATGTTACCAGCAGGGACGAATATTTCTCTGGACTGATCTCCTCTTCTTATTTTTAAAAAGAAGGGGGATGGGGATTGTTATATGTAAACTTGCTCATCTTGTAACATTTATTCGTCTGAAGATTCATATACGACGAAAACATGTTCAAATCTTGTGTTAGATGCATATTGCATACTTAAAATAAAATATAAACATTTATTTATTTTCATAAGCCTGCACTGGTTTTCTCTGTTTGCTTGACACATTTTTACTTTGAAATTTTATTTGAAACCGACACCCCCTCCACAAAATCTATTTTTATTAACAGTTTTTATCAATATTTTCATTTTCCATTTTGTTAATTTAATCTTGATTTATTTCTAGAAGATTCCTCTGAATGCTGCTGCTCGCAATGTTCTTGTCCAATCCTTCATCTTCTTGTTCTTGACTACTTTAGCTCTCAGGTAGCATTTATTTATTTAATTTAGTACGACATGGATATACAGAATGGCTATTTAACCTGAGCCACTCTTATTAAATAATGTGATCGCATATATCAAAGCCGCGGCGCGTTCCAGATATACTTAGACTGCAATACTTGAGCCATTCGTTATTCAACAAATAAAAACATTGGAATATCTTGTTTATTTTTCGAGGACCCTTTTGAGTACGTGTATCATTCATTGAAGTTCGTATGAATAAGGGCCGGGTCTAGATAAATTCTTTCTCTGAAATGGAGGGAGTATTATTTAAGGTCAAAATATTGTTAGTTTATTAGAAGATACTAGCTTGGGAACCCATCTTTGCATTGAAACATAAATTTTCCCTGTAAAAGTCAAACCAGTCGATTTCGAATTAATAATCGGCGGCCCGAATCAAAATTTGAGGCAAATCGGTCAAAGGGTTCCTGAGTTATGACAAACAGACAAACAAACAGAGATTACTACTTCATTCTAACGAGAAATTGTTTAGGCACGTGCGCTAATCTTGTCCGGCGAGCTAAGAGCTGGTAAATCTGTGTTTAGGACGTTGCATGAAATTATACCCAAGGTAGAATAAATCTGAACAAAAACTTGCGTACTTTTTTCTTGTAAATTGAATTAGTATATTTTCATTTTTCAAAACTTTTAGGTCTCTATTGATCTTTTTCAGTTGTATTGTTAACATAATAAAAAGTTTTTAGAAAATAAAGAAATGCTTATTAGCTGTATCTGGATATTTTTTTTTGTCATCGTGGTTTAAGATTCGAATTCACATTGAAACTGAATGGGCTTTAAAAGCACTTTCGAAATATTTAGATCAAGATTTTAGCTTAGAACTAATTCAGAGTTTCTTTAAGTTACGAAAGAAGGTCCAACTATCATCTGTGAACTCTGGTTTAGATGTGGAGACAGCCTTGAGAATATTTAAAGAACATCATTTAGGTATCATTTTAAGGTTCCTATTTTTATTTAAGAATTATTTCTTTGAGAAAAGTATTTCATGCTGAGACGTGCTTGAAAGACCCTTTTAAAAAAATGTTGCTATACCATTTTACATTTGTTTCCCTCAAAGATTTAAAAGTCATTTTTGTTTGATTTTAGTTTTGTTATTAAAAAATTATTAATATCCCCATAGATCCCGAGTTGACAATAATAGTCCGTCCGACCTTGCCAGGTTTTATATCTAGCGTAAGGCGAAAGAACGGCTTTATTTAAACCGATTTTTGAGAGAAAAATTTCGTAGATTTTTCACTTGCCGAATGTACTTACTCCTGAGGGCTTAACCTAATCACCTGAAACATAACCTGAACCAATGTTCTTTTAGTATGGTATTGGTAGCTTTGAGAATGCTAGACATTTGCAAGGATTCTGTTTAGTTTTTACAATTTATTGCATTTTGAGTGTTGTATTATTTTCATTTCTTGTATGTGGGGTGGGGGTGTAGTTCCGTAGATTGGCATTGGCATTGGCATTGACCAACTTAGTGGTCTTTTTTTTGAACAGCGGGAGAGCGTAGGCATACGGGAACTAAGTAATCAGTTGGAATAATAATGATGACCTCGGGAGAGAGAGTTAACACCGAGTTACACGGATTGAAAAAGTAACACTGCATGCATTGCTGTACACCACCTGTATCATCGTCTTCAATATATTTAAACATCTTCCAACGAATAGATAGACACTTAAATACGGAGCCCCCACTCCACAACCCACATTTTTGACTAGCCGACAACTATGACCCCGATCTCCCTCCGGGAAACCCTATTGACATTGCCTTCGATCTCAGACTCCAGGTCGAGAAGAAGATACAGTAGGAAGGGCTACAACAATATTGAAATTTATTAATCCTCTGATTTGAATTGATATTTAGAATGTCTGATCCTTGAGGCTAATGTATTAGCATTCTGTGATGAACTTGAGGATGCACAATCTGTTCTTGAATCAATTCAACTACCTGGAGACAAACCAGTTCTACAGACAGAACATAATCATATAGGGACACACAATTCACAGCCATGCTTCATTTATCTTTCTTTTTATTAAATAAACAATCAACCAGTGCTTAGTATCCGGATCCGTTAGATACGTAACATTTTGACTTGGCAAAAGTATATTGCTGCACGGATCTGGATCCAAATATAAACCAAAACCTGCTAAAAATCACTTTTTGCTCTCTAAACACAAATATTAACTGTTAAAAAAAAATTTCTTTATAAGTAAACTACAGGTTGAATGTTTGTTCACAATTACAACAATAATGCCAAGGTTTGTTCTACATGAAACAGGTTTTTTTTGTTGTGCCTTTTATTTTTATTTTTATTTTTATTTACTGTATTTTGAAGGGAGCTAAAGTCGAATTTAAGAATAAGGATTGAGTGCTATTATTATTATTATTATTATTATTATTATTATTATTATTATTATTATTATTATTATTATTATTATTATTATTATTATTGTGTAATGTGTCTGTATAGAAACAGTTAGTGTTTGTTCTCATCTAAACCGAGTCCATCCTTCTCTAGTTTTCAAGATTTTAGAGATAAAAGCATCTCTGCAAAGTGCTACACAGGAACATGATTTTTAATCTTCGTTTTGAATAAAATATTTAAACATTAACATTTTAAAATAAAAAATTATATTTTGTACAGACTTATTAAAGACTATTATTTTGAAAATATTTAATATTCAATCAAAATATTCAATTTCAGTTGATATATTTAAATTCTGAAGTTTAATTTCCCAAATTATTTAAGACTAGAATTAAACGTTAAGGTTTTTAAATGTTTAAGTTAAAATATGATGGTGTTCAGAGCGGAGATCTGGATAAATTGACTAACGCAACTAGTCTTCTCAGTATAACTAACAGGTCAAGTAAAATCTATATAATTAAGCTCTTCGCTCATATACATATATATGTTAGCTATAGCTTGCCAATCGGCTGAAATTCGAAGAAACCCATGGGTACCTTGGCGTGAAAGACTAAAAAATATTCGAAATTTCTAGAACTTTTCCAGATGTTTTTGAAATATTACGGGCAACGTTTGACACTTTAAGTGATTTTTTAGAATATATATTTTTATAGGAAGATTATGTCTTTGTGAACTTAATATGTGATAAGATCAGTTTTCCAGAGTGAACTCAACAGAAAAGTTTACGTGAAATTGTTCCATCTGATTTCATATTGTCATTGAATCCCTCTTGTAAAGAAAATATTGAAGATAAAGCTGAAATAATAACGATTAAATTAAAAACTGATATTTTCTAGGTTCAATAAGTTTGAAGGTTATCTAACCCCGACTGTTACCAAGACGTGTGCCAAATCATCAAGTAAGTAGAATCAATTATAGAATCAAAATAAACTTTAAACATAACAGTCAAGGACTCGTTGAATTTTTAGTTACTTAGAAGTTGAATGATTTGTCGGGTTATTGGTTCGATAGTTTTTTTATTTTGGTTTGATGCTGAAATTTCTGGTATTTTTAGAAGCTCCGAGAAAACGCGATCTCCCATCCTTGGGACCTCAGGGTACAGATGGACTTTCCAAGGTCAATTTTTTTATATCTGAGAAATTACTGAATACTGCATCAAAGACAGAGGCGCACTAAGCCCCCCCCCCCCCCCTACTAAATGCCTGAGTACGCCCCTGACCAAAGATACATAAACATTTGTTTTACCTTCAGTTAAATGACGACTTTGCGTCAATTTAATTTACATTAATTTATTTACTTTAAACTAATTTTTTTGGATTTTTTTGAAAAAAAAATAAATAATAATTTTTCCTCTGACTGCTAACAAAATCATGGCTTATTTTATTGTTTGTTAGAAGTAAAAACTTTTCTTTGTAGATTTTCTGGGTATATACAAAAATACTTAGTTTATATTTTTTTAACTGTTTTTTTTTTTTTTTAAATTTTCACACAATATAAAGTTTGCCTTGGTGAAAAATTTATTATTGTAGGATTTGGAAAAGCTGAACCTTTACTCTAGTCCTCATCCATCCAATTCTCCGGAGCTGAAACCCCGTCATTTGGGACAGTCAAGGCATAGACTAATGAAGATTGATGATTTGGTAGAATCGGAGGAGCTAAATGAAAAATCTCAGTGGAAACCTAAAATCGTAGTAACGGCGGATACACCGAACAAATTCTTCAAATCAAAGGGGTCCGTCGGGTCGGAACAAACACCATTAAAGTTAGCGAGTAAAGTTCCGAAAAGGGTGTCTAAGAAAGTGCTGTCTCCGACTGAAAACAAATCTGTAAGGAAATCTACGAAGAAGTCAACATACCAGATATACGAAGACACGGAGAATAGTGAATGCGAGCAGTTAAACACCAAAACTCCTGTGCGAAGTAGAGCTGTGCGCTCAACACGAAAGAAGAAGCTAGAAACCGAAAATAAACCAGAGAAGCTTGACGCCAGTACTTCTCGAACATCCAGAAGTGCGGCGAAACGTCTGTAATTTATTTTCTGATTGAGTACAATACAATATTTTTATTTTTAATTGTAATTAGATTATGATGAATTAATATTGAATTTTAGGTTGTTCTTTAAAATAAATTCCAGATTGAGAATGAAGCAGAATGGACATCCCTAAATTGTAAAGTAAACCATGAAATGTCATGTGTAGAACATGCCATAGAAAAATATACCCAGGGGTACAAAATATTTTCACGAATTATCCATAAAAATCTACTTTGCACAAATATCCCTATCATGGGGGGGAGGTGTTATGAAAAAAATAGTATTTAGGAAAATATATACCCCTGGTTATATTTCCCATTTAAGCAAAGATTAGTTTACCCTTAATCTTTAAAATAAAATGTAATTTTTAATAATTGAGTAAACTCCTGATTGCAATGCAATACAAAAGTGTATCTTATCAAGATATACCAAGATGTCTCGTAATTAATTATCCTGGAGAGCAGTTTTTATAATTTTATAAAGCTTAAAACGATTTTCAGATAAAATGGTTCGGGTCATCAGTCAGGAAACGTTCGAAGACATAGTCAAGGAATGTTTCATTTTATTTTGTCAAGTCCGGATAAAAATTGTCTTTTAGACCTTTAAAGAATCCAGCACACAGTCTGCAACCAAATAAGCATATTTTTAAGGCAACATTAACGTTAACCGTGTAATTAACTTGTAATTATTTTTTTAATCATTTATATTATAAATATAATAATAATGACATTCTGATCAGGAGAATATGGAAGAGTTTGAGATGAGTAGAGAAGAAGCTGTTAGGAACCAGTTTTTCAAAAATCTTTACTTCAGCTTATTTGATTGAACGTTCCTTTTTTTTAATTGTATTTAAAAACACTGTAGGGATGAACCTATTATTTTAAGGTCCGAAGGTTCTTAAATATGTGCGAACATATTGTTTCATGTTTGGTTTACTCAGATTCATCTCAAAATGAGCTCAATTTTACTGAGTAAAAGATATCATAAACCCTGCAACTAACTTTCTAATCCTAATTAAGGTGACAACGGAAAAAATAGTACCAAACCACTGAGTTTGCCAGTTCGTAAATAATTGAAGAAAAATTTTATTTTTAGATATTCAAAAAACCCCTGTTAGCTGTCCGCAAATATTAAATATCAGTTTAATCGAATTGATAGATATTAAAAAAAAATTCTGCGTCGGATCATTTTTCGAAATGTTTCCCGTTAAAACCAAAAATACTTGAATTTGTAAAGTTTTGTTATTATATTTACTCGTATTCAACATGAATTGATAGAACTGGTGAAGAGAGGCTAAAGAGCAGTTTGAACAACAAGGTGTAAACCTGACCAATATCGTTATATCAGAGAAAGGAACTAAATTCTAAATTGTCTTATTGCGCATTTAATACTGATACACCTCTTTTGATTCAATTCAAAATTATTTCACAAATTGATGTTAGACTGTAACTAAGTGTTTTTTGGACCTCTTTCATAATTTAATCTTTTGCCTTCATGCTTAATGGTAATTAATCCGCGTTTTGTTAATTTGTTTTGATCATTTCTGATCTGATAGTTTTGAATTTGGTTTGGTTGTTAGGTTCCCACGAGGTTTTGGATGCCTTGAATAAACTGCAGCCTAGTTCCTCGATACAAGAAAAAGTTGAGAATCTGCAACTTATTGCGGATAAATGCAAGGCATGCGATCAAATCATTTATCACATGTAAAAGATCAATGAAATAATTTCAGAGTGGCAACATTCACTTATAGCAGAGTTGAAAACTTTAGAATGGGGGATATCGGGATTAATGCTTGATCCTCTCTTTTTGATAATCTCAAGATTAACCTAATCTTGCAAGATTATCTTAAAAGTGTATGAAAAACGATAAAATTTAAATTAATATTTAATCATCTGAGAAACTGTAGCAGCCAAACAGAAAAAAGCGGGCAACCAATGAAAGAACAGAAATATTCTCATTGGAGAAAACAATTAACGGATATCCAAGGAGAGAGAAAAAGAGTGGATTAAGACAAAAATGAAAAGTTTCCACAGTGGATATTCGGATCAAGAAGTCAGGATTAAAGTTTATCCATTCTAAAGTTCCCAGCTCAGGGCAGTGCTTAGGATCCATTTTATTTTGATGCAGATTAAGATTCATATCCTAAATCCGCCCTAATAAATAATGGATCTGGATCCAGGTCATGATTTTACTTGTTAAGATTTACTGATTTTGCGATCAAAGAAGAATTTTCAAATTATTGGTTTTTTTTCGCCTATTTTTATTCTAATTACTAATTTATAACTTGATATATCATTCAGAGATAATCTTTTTTCAACAGTTCAGATTTGGGTTTTTTCCCACAGTTTTAGGTTTCAGATCCTACGAATTTTCCCTTAAGAACTTTAGAATCAGAAGGAATTATGTCAATTTTTAATTAATAAAAAGTATATACTTGACACATTTCCACTATCGATATATAGATAGAAGTTTAATGGTTACCCTTGTAGACGTTAGATGCATTATATAAACGGAGGGTTACTTTTGTCATGTTACAGTACGATTACAATCCCTTAGTTAATATTTGATCTGCCGGATAGGATGATCTGGCACAGAGAGTTCTTGCCACAAATAATGGAGCCTACAGTTTCCTCACCAGATTTGCAGGGTAAACATTGTAAATAAAGACAAATATCCAGTGTTTATATAAATATTGTGTTTTTTTATGACTGGTTTCTGCAAAGATTCGAATTCAAATTGTAATTACATTTATTAATTTTTCCCTAATTGTATTACTAATATGCTTCATCCTTAAATGTTGCACAAAAATAAGTTCTTAAACCCTTAGTAAAAGTATAAGTCTTAGGTAAAATAAATAAGCTTTTGAACAATTTAACAAATATTTTGAACATTTGAAAAGAATTTAGCAACTGAACAACATTTTGCTCGGAAAGCGTGCATTTATTTTAATGAAATAATAATTTATTGTAGTTTGATTTCGAAGATAATTTTATTATACTAGAAATTCAAGGCGCTTCGCGCCCTTCTTTCTAGGCTTTTAGGGCGCTTCGCGCCCATCTTCTATTTAAATTAGGAACATGTTCGAATTGTTTACATTTCAAAACAAAGATGAAAAAAGTTTTGCGGATTTTTAAAAAAAAATTCGCGGATTTTCAAAACTTTAAATTTTTTTACAAAATTAAAAACCTCTTAAACACAAATTTTTAAAATTTCAATCATTCATAAACCTTCCCTGGGGTCCCTAGATGTCCCACAAAAAATTTGGGCCCGATCGGTTCAGCCGTTTTGACTTTTATTGGATACAAACATACAAACAGACAGACAAACAGACAAGCCAAATTTATATATAGATTGTAATTTTTTCTATCCCCTCGTCCCTAAATAATATTAAATCGTTCCCTATTAAATATTTTTAGCTTGATTAGAAGTTAAATTAAATCGTAATTGTTCTAAGCTCAGGTCAATATTTTGTTTATTTATAAAGTTCATACATATTTACAAATGAACTAATGTTTTGTTTAATTCAGTAAATCTGAGGATCTGGTGGTGAGAAAGGAATCACTGAAGTGTCTTGCTGTTGTTATGGACACTAATCCAGACCATCTGGAATCACAAGGGGTAAGTTTTATACAAAAAGATTACAATACATTACAGTATTTTGTAATTACTGAAACAGAATAGATGTTGCATAAATACAGTTCACAAAATAATTAAATAATTTATTACTTGATTTAAGTTGAGCTGCTGCCTTCTGATACAGTTGTTTTAGATAAGTTTACTGAAAGAGTCTCTTGAAGAAGATGATCTAAAGATTCATGCTCTGGACTGGTTACTTGTCTGCTGTGTCAGGTATATTGATTAAAGGGACTGTAAGCTTAATTTCAACTGACCCTTCATGCAAAATTGGCAATGCCTAATTTACAAAGGTACCCTTGAAACTTACTACAAGAACTTTATAGCACAGCAAACCAAAATAATTATAGTGTTATATGTATATAAATATTTTCTTCACAATACTAGTCCTGTTAAATTGTGTTCTATCTCAGACATGAGGGCAACCGGCAGAATATAGTTAACAGCGGTTTACTTGATTCAACAAGTATCATTGCTAAATCAGGTAATTAGTGTGTCATCATGTCAATTTAGGGAGGGAAGGCACACCACACATTTTTTCGTCCGACCACAAATGACAACACAATTCACCATTTTTTCCTCCGACCACACCTTCTTTTTGTTTGGCATTGTTTACATTCTTTTTTTAAGTACTATACATTCTTATATTCGAATTTTGAGCCACGCCAAGTTCAAAAAGGTTTTAAATATTAAATTATATAGATACAGTTGGCATAATACCTCAAGCAAATAAAAACCAATTGCTGTTTCCTTCTAAACAAAAATGTAAATTTTAAATTGTAGATTCTAAAAATCCCAGCGACTATCACCTTAAAGGTGTAGCTTAGGAGTAAAATAAGAAAACAACAGAAAAGTGTGTGGTCCAGACGAAAAATATATAAGCCACACATATTTTCCGTTTTGCGCTAAAATGTACTTTAAAAGTGTTATAAGGCATAAAAAAATACAATTGAAAACATAGATACAACGCCCGGACGAAATAGTGGTTAATTGTGACGTAATTTGTGGTGCGGACAAAAAATGGTGTGGTGTTCAGCAAGTAAAGTGGCTAAATCTTAGGTCGGAACTAATAATTAGCAAGAAGTATGACGTTTTCTCTAGCGTGGCCTTGAGAGCACTTGAGATAAGTAGTTCAACTTGCCATTATAGTTTTCATACTTCTCGCCTTTTGTTACTTTTTCGAAATGGTTTATTAGACCCAACAAGTTTGGTTTTTTTTTCTGATTATATTGGAAAAGTAAAACATATTTTGTTTCTTGTAAATAATTTTATTGAAACATATTAGACATTTGATCGTCTGATTATGAATATATTTAATATGAATTAAACACGCTAAATATTTGACTGTTTTTGGTTTTTTACTTTACTTTTTACCAGGGTCCCGTGATCATCTGCTTCGAGTTAAAAGAGTCTGGATGGCTCTAGTGCAAGATGATGATATACGGTTGGTATCTGGAAGGGCGGAGGGGAGGGGTTAAAAATTATTACACGTGGGGAGCATTTTAGTATTTTTTTTATTTTACACCATTACACTGCAAACTAAACAGACATCCCTGCTATGACTTTGATACTTTGGAACTCCTCTAGTTTTGATTTTAAGCAGAAAGGAAATTTATCCAGTTACAGTGAAGAAATTCAAAACAGTTTTGTTCTCTATAGCGCGTCAATAGAAGGAGTTTTGATTAGTAACATAAAAGATTTCAACTTTACGTCCAATTTACTTTAGTTTGACGTGATTATCATTGAGCAATCTTTCTTCGAAAATTTACCCCCCTCCCACCCTCACCTGTTTTCATTTCGACCTGTAAAATACTAATAAAATTGAGCATTTTTTCTATTAAAATGACCCTCCAACCCCTTCCCATCCTCACCGGTTCCATTTCGACCTGCAAAATGAGCAATTTTTCTTTGAAAATGTACCCCCTATCCCCATCTCACCCTTTACATTTCAAAACAAAGATGNAATGTACCCCCCACCCTCTCCTGTTTCCATTTCGCCCTGTAAAATACTAATAAAATTGACCAATTTTTCTTTGAAAATGTACCCCCCTCCCCCCACCCTCTCCTGTTTCCATTTCGACCAGTAAAATACTAATCTCTGATATTTAGAGTTCCATTTGGTAAAGCCCACGACCATGCTCGAGATATTGTAGAAAACCATGAAGCTCTGAGTATACTTACAAACTCTCTTACACAGTTTGCCCAGGTTGGTATTTTAAATAATAATAGGAACTACAAATACTGTGTTTATTAGGATTGGAACTTAGATCGAAAAATAAGTGGGCGCATGTATGTATGAACAGAGCTGGAAAATTTTGTGCTGGGTACTCATAATTCTGATAGCTTGACCTCGATATCCACACTGGACACTTTTGATTTGAGGATTAATACTTTATCTATTCATTTCAGTTAAATGACTGGGTATGATTACTATGCGTGATGTTGAATACAAATTTAATTAATCTGCAGGTTATTAAAAGATCGAAATCAAGCGTTGATCGCGATATCCACAATACAAGAGTTCCCATTTTCGGATTTGTTTATCTTTTGTTTTTCTTCATTTTGATAAATCAATTTGTAGGATAAAGAGTTGCTCTGTTTGACCTTGTCAGCTCTGGCCAGCCTAGCAGTCAGAAATGAATACTGCCAGGTGAAAACTAGGTGTTATTGATTACTAGCTTGGGAACCCAGCTTTGTCTGGAAACCAGTTTTGTTCTACAATAGTCAACACTCTCAATGTAGAATTTGTAAACCAAGCTAGTTCAATTTCCCTGGCTATGATATTAAATGTTGTTTTTGCATGATTGAAAATTAGTTTTAAAAATATTTGATTAAAAAACCTATAAAATGATATTTCATTTGAAATGAATTTGTCAGGAGATCGTTGATGGGGGAGGTCTCAAGTTTATTCACGATATCCTTTTAAACCATAGATCTGAAGCAGAACTAGGTAGGACTTTATTTACAGCCATTTTACTTGATTTCCCAAGACAAAGTTGAACTATAAAAAATTCTTTAACAAAAGATTTTTACCCAAACCTGACACTCAGTGTCAGCTTTTAACAGTAACCCCCTTAGTATAACAACAAAAAAGGAGGGTTAGCATTTTATTTCATATGATTATTTGATTTAGTGAATATATATTGAATTTAAAGATTTTTTTTCTTTTTAGTATTATTTAGTTGTGAAATGGACATGTTTTACCATCTTATCATCATTGTATATAAATTTATATATAAATTTATATCTTCATTTTATATAAATATAAAATATCTTGTTTTATTAATGTATGTTTTATTTTTAGTGACTAGATCCCTGGTACTGCTAAAAGTGTTGGCCGGAAACGACAATGTAAAAAGTGATATTGCTAAGGAAATATATTCATATTAGAAATAGTTTAGACGTTTATACAGTGGTGGCTTTAGGGGGGGGGGGGGCGAAAGGAGGGCAGCCCACCCCTGGAAAATTAAGGAGGACGTCCCCCTCGCCCTTGACAATTTTCCCCCCTTTAATATGATTTTTAAGAATAGATTCTAAAACATTTTTCCCTGCGGAGCCACTTTATCACTCAAAATGAAGATTTTGTTATAAAATCCAATTTTCTAAAAATCCTCTTTGGGGTTTTTTTTGTCTAGNAGCCTCACATGCGTTTATTTAACTGTTTGTATTGGAATTTTTCTCACGTCCTGTATATATTTGATTTGAATATACTTGAAGGGAGGAGGCATTCCCTTGATAATGGCATCTATAGAAGATCATATGCAACGACCTGTCACAGTTGATAATGGATTCCAGGCGATTGCTGCTATTTGTCTAAGGTATCATCTCGGTTCTTGTCTTGTTCCGGAGATCAGAAGATTTTTAGGCGATTAAACAGAAATTCAATTGTTTTAGACAACCAGAGAACTCTGCACAGGTTTTGGAGTCTGACGGAGCTCAACTTATTATCACAGCTCAGTCTAGGCATCCAGAAAACAGGTAAACGAGATTCTTTCTCATCACTATTCTGTTGTCTTTAAAATATGTTTTTTAAATCACAAACCATTCCAAGAGTCTCATACCAACATTGATCTGAACTGGCTTATTTTGATTTGGTAAGTTTGCAGCGGTTTTTTTGCTATACCCTTTTCTTGTCAGTCTTTTTAGTATTTTCACGATTTCAGAGTTGGGAACTTTTGTTTTGGATACTCATCGGGATCGCTTGATCTCGATATCCACAGTGAGAACTTTTGATACTTTTAATAATAAGCCATACCTATCGATATCTTTATTTTAGTTATTTCTCTCCTTCCTTCCTAACCTGAATGGGTACGATTACCATCGAATAAAGATTATATTTATCTGCCGATTAGCAAAAGAACAAGATCCAGCATTGATCTTGATATCTAAAAGCTGATAAGTTATTTATTAAAACCCCGAGATTGATAATCATCTAAAAATTAATATTAAATTTATAGACGAGTGCAAGCTGCGTGTGCATCAGCTATACGGAATATAGTTTGCCGAGATAAAGGATTAGGAGCACAGTTTATAGATCTAGGGGTAGAGGATCTACTTAACCTGGCTCTACTTAAACACGGGGATAAGGTAAATATATTAATAGTATTAACATTATTACATTGTTTTTAAAAGTTAAAACAAGACCAGGGGCGTACTTACCAGAGGGAGTTTCGATTTTTTTCCCAAAAATCCCCTGAAAACCATATATTTCATTGATCCAAGGGGGGACGGCGCCNCCCACCCCTACTGAGTATGCCACTGAATGCAGCATATAAAATCTGGAATTTATTTTATCCCTTCTAACAAAAATGTCTTAAACTTTTTAATGTTTGTTTTCTATCTATTGATTTTGCATTAAGCTGTAATTGTTTATGTACATTGTACAAGTTTTAAAATTGTAGGTTGGAGATACTTTAAAATCTGCTCTTCGTGATCTGGATCTTAAGGTTGAACTCAAGGAGAGATGGACAGGTGCTAAACCTCCAGGACTAGAGGATTAGACTAGGAGATATATCTAGAACAAGAAGACTAGAAGAAATCTCAAAGACTTCAAAAACATTGTGCACATTCCACAACGAACATACTTTAGACTGTAAAATACGTCTCACACTTTCTTATTATTTTTTTCTGATTATTTTGTTCAGTAAATCACACTACCCAGTAGTTAGCCAAAAAATTTGGTTGCACTGTGAATCCTAATATAGAGGTTCTTTCCTTACTGCTTGAACTCTCTAAACATCTTCCTTCTATACCGAACCTAATTTAAACCAAATGCAACACTAAGTCCTGAAGGTCCTTGACTATGCATCGGTTGACCCATCTGTTCTGCATATTTATTTTACTTCCTTATGTTAAAAAAATCACAGATTTTCTTTCTTTCTTATAAAGATGTCAGCTTTCATCAATCAATTCAATCATGGTAATTTAATATGGCCATTTGTGATTTAAAACTTCCACTACTTCATTTCTGCAATTCTGCACCACATCTCTAAGATAAACATATTAAAAATCAGTAAATTAAGTGAATTCATTAGTATTTGCTTACTTTGTAATCCGAAATTTTTCTACACTACAGTAATTACTAAGTATTCAACAAAGTATGCTAATTAATAACAAAAATTACTAACCAGTGCTCCCTTAGTTTTTATTTATAAGCCCGCCTTAAATTTTGCTTAACAATAAACATGCATTTCTGATGGTAATGTTATATCGTCTATACACAACATCTCCTCTACTGAACTTCTGACCTACCAGCTGTTTATTTTTGTACTATTTGAGCCACATGTCCATAAACCACGTGCTAGTAGGTCGGATGTGTAGTATAGTGGATTTGTCGTAGGTCAGAAGTGGAGTAAAGCGGATTACCGTAGGTCGAAAAATAAACCATCATTTCTGATATATAAATCAACTTTAGACTGAAAATGTCAAAAATAAGAAGATGTATTGGATTCGACGAGAATGTTGTATTGGCGATAAAATCATGCTTTTACGATTATGATATGAGGTAAACATTCTTCTTTAAATATTTATATGTTTGTACAGTTATTTCAGTTATTTAATTCAGATTTGATTTTATTAGAGAAATCTGGATAAAGCAGAATGAGAGTAAAGCAGTCTATCATAGTCGAACTTGCCGAGAACAGTTTGGGTAAAATATTGTACAATATCAAATCTTTGTTAGTCAGAATTTGCCCAAAAATATTTGTTTTATTGCTATACGTTTTTTAGTCAGATAAAAATAATCTATTCGAAGCATTATCTTATATTCATTTAAAAAAAAAGTTTATATCTTTTATTTTTATATATACGCTTAATTCTGCCTCTTTGGCAATGTTTATCGTTTTAAAAACAGGATGTTTCTTTACAAATGATATTTTTGATTCGCCCGAATTTCATTGAATAGTGATAATCACAATATATAGTGTAGGCATTTGTCGTTAGATAAGANTATTTTTGATTCGCCCGAATTTCATTGAATAGTGATAATCACAATATATAGTGTAGGCATTTGTCGTTAGATAAGATTTAGACATTTACGTTTTATGCACAATCTATTTATAAATTTGGCTTGTCTGTCTGTTTGTTTGTCTGTTTGTTTGTTTGTATCCAATAAACGTTAAAACGGCTGAACCGATCGGGACATCACGTGACCACAGGGAAGGTTTATGAATGATAAAAATTTAAAAAAAATGTGTTTTAAAGGTTTTTAATTTTGTTAAACAAATTAAATTCTTGAAAATCCGCGAATTTTTTTCTTTGTTTTAAAATGTAAACAAAAAGAACATGTTCACAATTTAAATAGAAGATGGGCGCGAAGCGCCCTAAAAGCCTAGTCCTAATAAATTTAGTAAGTTGGTTTAGCTACGACTCTAAAAAAGGGTTCATTTTGAGATGTGCAGGTTCTAGCACGCTCTGGAAACGCACTCCTTGATGAAAATGATAAAAATGATGATAATAATAAATACAAGTTATTGATTTTTTAAGTTATCCTCTTAATCAATTATTTTCTAGTGAAAAAGTGGGCTTCAAACTTAATTGCTCTCCTGTAATATAATGCATTGCAACTTGTCAGGGATGATGAGGAGATTCTTGAGAAGGTTTCTACCTCCTGCAGGGCTTGGTTCAATTCCCTAACAGACAAGGAGGACTGGAGGACTGAAGAATTAAAAACCAACGGTAATTATTCATGGAATTCATGTTTTATTATTATTATAAATACAGTATTTTTTATATTTGTAAAAAAACACTTTACTTTCACAAAGTAAAGTTATCGTTTATTTAAAGAAAGACCTATTATGGAGTAATTTACAGTGAGAACCAGAAAGCTGTGGAATAGGACTCAAGATAGGGTTTTAAATAGCATGAAGTACAGCACATGGCAGTGTTCACAAACCATTCCACATATTTAGTGATTATTATGCTACCTAAGTAAACTATTTGCGTTTCAATTATAATTGAGGATTGCTTTAATGTCGTCTTCCTATTCCACAGTTTACTGGTGCTCACTATAGATGAAGGCTATTTGAGTTTTTACGCAGGTGGCCTATTTTATAGGTACTCGAAAGTTATATCATCAGATTGCTTTAGATAGTATTTTTTATGAAATCTAGCCACTCCCTGGATAATTGTTTTTAATAGTTTAATTTTAAATCTTGGTGACATTCTTTTATTAAAGGGTCTTCTTAAATAAGTTTGCTTAGCAGTCCTTTAATCCGAATTGTAATTGATAGAAGCTGAATTAGATGATCCAATAACTACTGCAACAGATACTGAGCCGCCAGAAGCTATAGAGGCATCTAAAAATCTGGAGACGGAGGCTGTATCATCTAACCTCAAAAAAATACCCCAGCAGAACAGTAAACTACAATTTTCATGTTCATTTTGCAGCAAAGCATTTCGTTTAAAAAGCTCACTGGACAAACACAGGACACGGTCGCACAGAACCCTGATACAGGAACAAAGAAGACATCAAGGCGGCCAATTTTTCTGCTCTTTTTGTGGACTAGGTTTTGATAAGAAACCAAGTATGCAAAGACACATTTCTAGGTAAATCCAAAAATTCAAATCTTTTGGCCTATTACTATCCTTCAGAAGATTTAATAAAGTTTTTTTTCTAAATTGTCATAAATGTAGGAAATTCTTGTGCTGAGGATACTTGGCACAACGCATATTGCGTAGAGCTGAGATTTTAAAGAATAAAAAGATTAAACCTCAGCTTTAGCGCCTATTTACGCCCAAGCAAAGACGCGAGGTTTAACTAATAGACTCAGTTCTAGATCAAACCAATCTGTAAATGGTAATTTTTTACTTTTAAATCTCAGCTCAGGTTGAGCTCAAAATCCTAGATAGTTTATATCTAGTTATATTTTTATAACAAAAACGATCTAAATTGGTTAAAACAAGTGCTGAGCCTAGGTTCTTAAAAACTTCAATAAAACTAAATGTGCTCGCTGGCCGAAAATCACTTAAAAACATTTAACTCTTGAGCATAAAAGAGTTACATACACAATCACTGCCTTAATTACATTCGCCGTTGGTCGAAACGCATATATCTTTATTTATACTAGGTTTAAATACAGCAACAGTTGCGGTGAATTACTGAAAAAATATACATAAGTTAAACATATTTATTAAACATTTTATTATTTAAAAAATGCCAGCTACTTTATTTGCTAAAATGAACCCCTGCCCTGTAAGCTACCATATAAATGAGCAAAACTTAAACCTTTATTGTTCTAGATGAATCTTAAAGCTAAACTGCCGGTTCATCATTTTTCACCTTTCTCTGTGTCTATTTAGATGCCGCCCGTCAGTTACAGAAAATCCCCATAAAACACAAGGAGTCTTAACATGTCTCTTTAGATGCCGCCCATCAGTTACAGAATATTCCCATAAAACACATGGAATCATAACTTACATAGTGCACGCTGTGTATGGCAGTAGCTGTAGTTTCTAAAAGTGATCTCCAGGTGCTAGTATTCTCCTGTGACTAGATAAGTGAGCTCCAACCCGTGTTTAACCAAATTTCAGCATCTCTAAATATTCAAGGTTGACAAGATATTCAGCTTCAAAACACGATTAATTAAATACTTGACGAACCTGCATTTATCCTCAATGTGGCCTGGGAGGATATTTTCACTTTGATCTCCTTCAGGGAGTTTCACCAGAGACGTAGTTTCCTGCTGTATCCAGAGCAGCTCACAAACAAAGTGGGTTTATCCAAATACTCCAGGTAGTTCCGTGGGTTTTCCAGGTAGTTCCGTGGGGACTTTCTAGGTAGTTCCGTTAGTGGTTTCCAGGTAGTTCCGTGATTGGCTTCCAGGCAGTTCCATGGAAGGTTCATGAAGATTATTACCGTAACAATCTCTGCATCTAAACAAATCCACATTGCAGGGTTCATCAAAATCCATAAAAAAAAACTGTGAAACCTGCTATGGTATCCAGGTAGTTCCGTCGATCCCATAAGCTCAGCCGGGTATTGCTCCAGTCAATCCACTCATAACTTCTCATTCACTCTTCTCCTCTCGATCTTCATGTACAGAATGTTCTCCTAACCTATTCCAACAGACCATTTCTTCAACATAACGAGGATATAGATTAATCTATCCTTTCACCTTTTAACTGATAAAACGTACGGTTACATGGCTTATTTAAATGGTCTTTTCCCTGAGTCTAGCGTAGTTAATGTAGAACACTTCAGTCTGGTGTTCGAATACAGGGAACACCTATATAAATACATATGAAAAGGCAGCAGGGCAGGGGGGATTTTACAGTACGTACAGTAATGGTTTATATGAAAGTACTGTATTTTACACACCTAGGTGGAAGTGTTAATCAATGGTCATTACATAAGGATGCATATCATACATCATTATCTGAAACATTTGAACTTTTTAAATCAATTTACTTTACTTTAAAATCAATGCTGGTCTTGAATATAAAATTGGCATAAGGCTATATAGATAAAATTGATTAATATACAACATAGATAAAATTGATTATTATAACATTACTTTTAGAATAGTCAGCTTATCCCAAATCTTGATGCCACTGAAGTTAAATCTTGGTTTGTAGATTTGAAGTTCTCGTTGTAGAGTAGTGTAGATCAAACTCCTGTGTTCTCCTAATATATTGGGATATTACACTAAATATTTTCACAAAATATTTTTTTTATTATTCGAAAACGGTCTGAATCGACTTGATTTGATTTGAATTACTTGAGTAGGAAGCATTCAGAAGAAAGCAATGAAGGACTGGTTGGAGTAGATGTCACAGTATCTAATCCTGTATCCTGCTCCCAACCAGGCTGTTCTCATGTACTGCATAATAGTTCAGAGTACAAGGAACATTTCTTACAACATCTTTTTATTTTACTAAGTCTATTGTAGACCCACATAAAACAACAACCAAGGAAATAAAAATGATTCCTTACTCCGACACTTATTGGTTTCAAATCATACTCTTTTTAAATCTTATTGGTTCGCAGTTATATTTAATTCTAGCTCGAGTACCCGACATTGTTCATGTTTAAAAAAACAAAAAAGTTAAAAAAACGAAGTATAAAGAATTTAACAAAGACTATTTAAAGATTTAGTTTATTGTATTTACAATTTGTTTTATGCTTTCACAATCTTCAGGATATACATTATACATATACAGGATATACATATACATATACAGGATATACATATACATATACAGGATATACATATACATATACAGGATATAAATATACATATACAGGATATACATATACAGGATATACAATACATATACAGGGTGTCCCGAAAAAAAACGATATTTAAGACATCGCAGCACTAACCATGGTTCAATTTTTAAAATTTTTTTTGAATAAGTTTGAAATTTATGGAACCTTTCTGATTAATTGATACCAATTTGAGGCATGTAGCACTAACATTGAGGAAGTATTGACCGTTTGAAGTATATCATTTTGGCTTTGATGAGTTCATGAATTGATTTTTTTTAGAATAAATTTTAGACATATTATTGAATTGCACTAGGGTCTAAAAAACATGCAAATCACAGCTTTGGCTGAATTAGAACTAAGAAATTTTAATATGGTGGCAGCAGGACGGCGCACCATGCCATGTTACTGATCATAACATGAGATATCAAGACCATAAGTTTGAGGGTTGAGTTGTAGCAGAATAGCCATTAGAGGGCATGATTGGCCGGCCAGAACACCTGACCTAAAACCATTGGACTTTAAACGAGTTAAAACTGGCCTTGGAGAGAGAAATTGCAGGAGAGCACAGTTATGGATGTACTGAATAGAGCAGAGAAATGTATTACGAACCTTTAGGACATTATTAATAGAAAGACCATAAACATGTATATATTTTTATAAATATTTATTTTTAATTAATTGTAAACTATTATTAAATATATTGAAATAAAATATGAATTTTTTAAAAATCTAACCATATTAAGTGCTACAATGTCTTAAAGACCGGTTTTTTTGAGACTCCCTGTAAATAAATATAATGAACGAAGAGTTTTATTATATAAATGTTAGAAATAAAAAGAATGCACTACAAATATTTTATTTTTAATCCAAGATATTTTGTCAACATTTGAAAAATTGTTGAAATGGGTTTTGTCTCCAGTCCCATCTAAGAAACGTTCATAACTTAACCCGAAGAGGAAGAAGACCGAAGGAACCGTTAGATCTAGAATTAGCTAAACTCTTAGGACTAGGTAATCTTTTAACCTTTCTAGTCATTCTTTATAAACCAATCAAAACATTTAAAAATATCATATTTTGATTTTTTGCAAGTTTCTGCAGTTTTTAGCAGAAAAGTTAACACACACCTGTTCGTGATTTACTGTAATTTTTTTACTGTTTTTTATTAACTGTTTTCTGTTTGTTTAAGATTTCAAATTTGCCGTTAACGGAATCATACGTAAATTTTCAAACGCTTATCGTTCGTTATTGGAACATTGCCCAGTCCTACTATGAATGAGATATTTTTGTTATTCTACCTGAAACTAGAGAAACTGAAACTGACCGTCTTTTTCTTTATTGTATACTGCTACTACTGGATTGTAAGGTCATTTAGAATTATAATCACATTATTACATTATCATATCTTATATTTCTTATTATTATTTTATCATATCTTATATTTATTATTACATTATTA